CACTTGTTCCGTGGGGCTTTGGCGGCATTTGGGCAGCAGGACCTTCACTTGCTCCGTGGGGCTTCGGCAGCATTTTGGCAGCGGGTCCTTCAGTTCCGCCGAAGACACCCGAAGCGAGTGAAGGACCCGCCGCCGAAGTGCCACTGAAGAGCCGGAGCGCCGCCAGGTGAGTAAAAGCGCCGCAGCAGGTGGCTCCTTTTTTTTTGATCGCTCCCCCTGTTCCCTCCACCTGGCTACACCACTGGCGTTGTGTGAAGACATTTTTCCTTTTATTTGTTTTAAACCTGCAATGCTTTAACATGGCTTGTGTGGTCACAGTGCAGCTCTCCCAGCGCTCCTAAAAACCCCACCTCCACGAGGGGCGCAGCTCCCAGCGCTGGGGCACTCTCTACACTGGCACTGCAACTTGCTGCGCTCAGGGGGGTGTTTTTTCACACCTCTGAGTGAGAAAGGTGCAGCGCTGTAAATTGCCAGTGTAGACCAGCCCTAAGACAAATTAGATGCCTTCAAGTCCCCAGGGCCTGATGAAATGCATCCTAGAACACTCAAGGAGCTGACTGAGGAGATATCTGAGCGATTATCTTTGAGAAGTCATGGAAGACGGGACAGATTCCAGAAGACTGGAAAAGGGCAAATCTAGTGCCCATCTATAAAAAGTGAAATAAGGACAACCAGGGAATTACAGCTCAGTCAGCTTAACTTCTGTACCCGGAAAGATAATGGAGCAAATAATTAAGCAATCAATTTGCAAACATCTAGAAGATAATAAGGTGATAAGTAGCAGTCAGCATGGATTTGTCAAAAACAAATTGTGTCAAACCAACCTGATAGCTTTCTTTGACAGGGTACCAAGCCTTGTGGATGGGGGGAAGCAGTAGACGTGGTATATCTTGACTTTAGTAAGGCTTTTGATACAGTCTCGCATGACCTGCTCATAAACAAACTAGGGAAATGCAACCTAGCTGGAGCTACTATAAGGTGGGTGCAAAACTGGTTAGAAAATCCTTCCCAGAGAGCAGTTATCAGTGGTTCACAGTCATGCTGGAAGGGCACAACGAGTGGGGTCCTGACGGGATCAGTTCTGTCTTCGTCAATGATTTAAATAATGGTACAGTGAGTACACTTATAAAGTTGGCGGAGGATACCAAGCGGGGAGGGGTTGCAAGTGCTTTGGAGGACAGGATTATAATTCAAAATGATCTTGACAAACTGGAGAAATGGTCTGAAGTACATAGGATGATATTCAATAAGGACAAAAGCAAAGTATTCCACTTAGGAAGGAACCATCAATTGCACACATACAAAATGAGAAATGACGAGGGCTGTTAAGCGATTAAAAAAAGCAATCGTGATTAATTGCACAATTAAAAAAATGAATTGTGATTAATCATGCAATTAATCGCACTGTTAAACAATAATAGTATACAATTTATTTAAATATTTTTGGATGTTTTCTACATTTTCAAATGTATTAATTTCAATTACAACACAGAATACAAAGTGTATAATGCTCACTTTATATTTATTTTTAATTACAAATATTTGCACTGTAAAAAACAAAAAAATAGTATTTTTCAGTTCACCTCATACACGTACTGTAGTGCAATCTCTTTATCATGAAAGTTGAACTTACAAATGTAGGATTATGTACAAAAAATAACTGCATTCAAAAATAAAACAATGTAAAACCTACAAGTCCTTTCAGTCCTACTTCAGGTAATCACGCAGACAAACAAGTTTGTTTACATTTGCAGGAGATAATGCTGCCTGCTTCTTATTTACAATGTCACCTGAACGTGAGAACAGGCATTCGCATGGCACTGTTGTAGCCAGCGTCGCAAGATATTTACGTGCCAGATCTGCTAAAGATTCATGTGTCCCTTCATGCTTCAACCACCATTCCAGGGGACGTGTGTCCATGGTGATGACGGGTTCTGCTCAATAACAATCCAAAGCAAAGCAGACTGATGCATGCTCATTTTCATCATCTGAGTCAGATGCCACCGGCAGAAGGTTGACTATTTCTTTTGTTACAAATATTTCATTTTAAAAATGATTAATACAAAATAATATCAAGTGAGCTCTGTACACTTTGAATTCTGTGTTTTAATAGAAATCAATATATTCAAAAATGTAGAAAAAGATCCAAAAATATTTAATAAATTTTAATTGGTATTCTATTGTTTAACAGTGAGATTAATCACAATTTTTTAAATCGTGATTAATTTTTTTTAGTTAATTGCTTGAGTTAACTGTGATTAATTGACAGCCCTAGAAATGACTACCTAGGAAGGAGTACTGCAGAAAGGGATCTGGGGTCATAGTGGATGACAAGCTAAAAATGAGTGAACAGTGTAATGCTGTTGCCAAAAAACCCGAACATCATTCTGGGATGTATTAGCAGGCGTGTTGTAAGCAAGACATGAGAAGTAATTCTTCCGCTCTACTCCGCGCTGATTAGGCCTCAACTGGGAGTATTGTGTCCAGTTCTGAGTGCCACATGTCAGGAAAGACGTGGACAAATTGGAGAGAATCCAGAGAAGAGCAACAAAAAATATTAAAGGTCTAGAGAACATGACTATGAGGGAAGATTGAAAAAATTAGGTTTGTTTTGTCTGGAAAAGAGAAGACTGAGCATAAGAGGGGCAAGATACATGTAGCTTGCTAATTATGTATGGTAATGATGGCAAATTTTGGCCAATCATAGAGCGACTGATTATCATAAGCAACTGCATATAATGCTTTGGTGTGAGTATTTTCTTGGTTCTTGCTGACTTATGAGCTCGAACCCAATTGCAATTGAAATAAAGGGATCGGGGCTCCTTGCTTGGCAAGCTGTGTCCGTCTCTCCTTATTCCTCAGCTGGAACGGACAGAAATTTCTATGACAAGACCATCCCCTCCATAAACTTATCAAGCTTAGTCTTGAAGCCAGATATGTCTTTTGCCCCCACTGCTCCCCTTGAAGGCTGTTCCAGAACTTCACTCCTCGAATGATTAGAAACCTTCGTCTAATTTCAAGTCTAAACTTCCTAATGTCCTGTTTATATCCAGTTTAACTTCCCGGGGCTGTCTCTCCTCAGAGTCACTATGTGGCCTGCATGGCAGCCATCCTGAACCAGATGGACGAGGCCCATTACAGCTCCTACATCCAGGCCTTCTCAGCCCGGACCGACCTGATGGTGAGTCGCCCGCTCAGCCTGTGCTCTCCAGGGCCCGACCCGGCAGCTCTCGGGGCTGTCGCCCGTCGTGGTGCTGGCGTAGCACCCCCCAGGCTGGACAGCCTCTGCCCCCGTCCTGTCCCAGACACTCCCCAGCTGCTCCGCATCCCTTCCCATGGGCTGCGGGCAGGGGTCTCCCACACCCAGACGAGCAGTGCCCAGCTGGCAGGCTGGCTGGACGAGCAGACGAGCAGTGCCCAGCTGGACACAGCTAGCCCAAGCCAGGCTGCAGCGGGAGGCACTGGCCAGGCTCACTGGCTGTGATGCCTCGCCTTGGTGCGTCTATGGGAGGGTGTCACGTAGGGCCCTCAGGGGGCGAAGGCCAGCAGCTCCCAGAGCATCCCCAGCTGGCATGGGCTCGGGCATTAGCTCTAGGAGCAGCTCTGCAGCAGAGGGGACGGGATGGGATGAGGGGCTGCGGAGCCAGAGCGGGCGGGGGTTTGAAGGGAGGAGACTGGGACAGACACCCCGGGGAGGGAGGGGGGGCTTAGGGGGTGGTGTCGGGTGTGTCAGTGGGGGCAGGACATGGGCCTGGCCAGATCCGAGCCTGAGCCACAAAGCTGAATAGCTGGGGGCGGGGGTTGGTGCTTTTCTGCGCTCGCCTCCACCCTCACTAGTGCCCCCCAGCGCCAGCCCCCCCAGACGTTGCTAGGAGACGGTGGCGGAGTTCGGGGTCTGGGGGGGCTTTGCAGGCTGCGCAGTAGTAAGAGACCTGGCAGTGGCAGTGATGTTCCCCAGGCTACTACCGGCCCCTCCCCCATGGCACCCCAGAGTCAGTTCCTCAGTACCCCCCCGCACGACACCCCATCTCCAGCTCCTCGGCACCTCCTCCCCCACGACACCCCTCTCCAGCTCCTCGGCACCTCCTCCCCACAGTACCCCAGAGCCAGCTCCTCGGCATCCCCTCCCCCACGGCACCCCAAAGCCAGCTCCTCGGCA